CGAGGAAATGTTTTCCACGGCTTTACGAGGAAATCTTTCCTCGTAAATTAGCTAGGCCTTTACGAGGAAAATAGCCTTTACGATGAACGTCTTTCGACGAAACACGTTTCCTCGCTATTTCCTAGTAAAGGGCCCTTTACTAGGAAATAACGAGGAAAACCCGTCCTAGTAAAGGACGTGTTTTCTTGTAGTGAAATGACCATTCTTTCTTATATTCATTTGTATCTTCTCCGTTTAGCGGCCTCTATATTCCAAGGTATCAGTGCTTCTACTGCACTTCATCTATTTATAGCTATAATTGATGAAAGATAATTTTACGAAATGGATAGTCCTAATTCCTATATATTCTGACTAAACATAGATATAATTTAAATGTATATACATAAGAAAGATACTGATTTGGTAATTAGACAGCATGAGAAGATGTCCTCGTGTTTTGGGCATAATATTTTCCTTGCGCTTGGTATACCAGATTGCTCACAAGAAAACAATTCTTTGGCATCTCTCTAGATCGTAGTCACATAACTACATAAGTGCAGGACCTCTGATAAAGAACTAATATTGGCCCTCTCTTCTTGCACCCTCGCCACTTTTTGCAATGTAGCTGATGCTGGAAATTACAACCCCCAAAAAACAAAGGAGACATGGTTTGGTAACAGAGACAAAACAAAAAAGAAGCTTTGCAAACATGTCACATCAACCGAAAAACACTAAAGCACTCAAACAAAAAAAGTTCCTTATAAGCCAATACTGATCAACGAATAAATAACAGAAGGAGTTCTCATACAACCAAAGAATGACGCAACTAAGCTATTCAAGATGCTATGCATAATCCTAAGACCACAAAACCAGTTCTATTGTAAATCACTTGCTTACTATTATCACTTTTCACTTACATATAATAAAAAAATAATAGTCATCTAAATGTGATAAATAATTATTTATCAATTACAAATGATAAAAGTAGAAAAAATTAAAATTAAAAACATCAAATAATATATAATATTATTTTAAAAATAAAATTTGATGTCATTGTTAGAGATGATAAAAAAAATTATAACATTAAAACATCAAATTTGATGTAATTTCAACATCAAAATTGGTGTTAAAGCTGGCCAAATATATTAAACTAAATAGTAGATACCAATAATGGAAACTTGATCATTTAAACAAATGTTATGAGATTTTTATTGTTTAAAAGCTGACCAAATTTTTTTTTTTTAAAGCTGGGCAAGTATATTAAACTAAATAGTAGATACCAATAATGGAAACTTGATCATTTAAACAAATCTTATGAGATTTATATTGTTTATTGGTGGGATGTTTCTTTCGCTTTGACGATATATTAAATTAGTATAAAATAATGTGAAGAAAAAACAATAAGAAATAGTATCTTACATATGTAACAAAAATCTATATATTGAATACAATAGTATTATTTTAAATAACTCTGTCCCATTAGTCTTTTGTTTCTTAGAATTGCAGAAAACCATTAACATCTAACGAATAATCAGGACCTATTTCAGAAGTATTCATGAAGTTATTATTGCAATAACTCTCTTTCTCATCTTCGGTGCTGCAAGTGCTACTATTGATGTAAGTTGTGGAACTTGAGTTTAATGGAGTCGGGCTCGAAGAGCGTGTGGCCAAGACCGAAGCAAAGTCGGAGTACAAAGGTTCTAATGCGAAGTTAGATGTCGAATAATCACAGTCCTGGTTCAGTGGGAACGAATGCACGGAATCTTGAAACGTCGTCGTTGGCATGGGGTTTTGGAACTCTGCGAATTGATCCATGCTAGGGAAGCAAGATTGCAATTCTTGATTACCAATAATATTGTAACCGGTTTGGTATTGGTTTACTTCAGGTTGGTTAACCTCGTGTGTATTGGGGTTGTTCTGATTCTTGTATTGTTGCTGAGAATTTGAAAAGAGAGACGTTGCGAGTTTGAGTATCTCCGGGTTAACTAATGGCTGCTGATGATGCCCATCACCCATCATAAGCCTCAACATGTTTTCTTGATGATGATGAGAAGAAGAGTTGTAGACAGATGAGCTGAGAATTGAGGTGATATCAAGAAGATCAAGACGTGGACTATGTGTTACCGGATCGATTCCCATCTTTAGAAGTCTTTTCCTGATGTGAGTGTTCCAATAGTTTTTGATCTCGTTGTCTGTTCTTCCTGGCAATCTAGCCGCAATTGCAGACCACCTAAATAGTTTATCAAGAAAGCAAACAAAGTCAGAGAAAAATTGTAATGAAAAAAATAGAAAATTAATGTATCAAAAATGTGAAGAAAAAAGAAACATTAAACTCACTTGTTTCCCATGATGCTGTGAAGTTGAATAATGGTTTCTTCTTCTTCAAAGGAGAACCTTCCTCGTTTTATATCTGGTCGGAGATAATTAGTCCACCGGAGCCGACAACTTTTACCACATCTCTCTAACCCTATAGTTAACAACAAGATTCAAGAAAAAAGGTTTAAAAATTATCAAACAAAAAATGAATAAAAGTATGTAAAATGCAATAACGAAGATATATACGAACCAGCATTCTTGGGAAGAATTCTCCAGTTTCCGTAACCATGTTTCTTGATATAATCAATGAGCTTTTGATCTTCCTCTGGAGTCCATGGACCTTTCTTGAGCCCAATTTTTTTCTCCAAACATGGTGATCTTCCCATCGTTTTGAAGATTAATGATTACTCAATGGAGACGAATTGTATAATAATAATGCTGTTGGATTAATCAAGAAATTGAAACTTGAGAGTATAGAGTATAGAGAAAGAGAGAGAGAGAAACAGAGACGTAGGGACCTAAAAGAGGAATACAAAGTATATATAGGAAAAACGACGAGACTCTTTTTCATAAGAAAAAAGGTGAAGTCAAAATGATTCGGTGCCGTCCTCTGTTCATCGATTGGGCTACGTGTCCTTTACAATCTCAAACATTTTTGTTTTGAAAAGATTATTTGGCTTTACATATTATACTAATTATTAATAAAAGGGAAAGTTTTTATACATCTTGAACTAATTTCTACAGCTTCTACAGTGATTTATGAAAATGTCTAAAATTTGTTTAGTAATAATCTCTGTTTTTTTTATTAGATGGCGTTTTAGTATTATGCACGTAGATTAAATCTTTAATTTTTTTTAATATTTTCTACACTAAAACATCAATAATTGTTCATCTAAACACAATTGAACAATAGTAAACTATAATATAGTACAAATAAGCATATAGAATAAAAATCTAATAAATTTTATAAGGACATTAAGAACATCATCTAATTGGAAACAACAAATTCTGTAAAACTTCATGTATTAAAAATAGGAGGAGTATATAAATAATATTATTACATTCTTATTGACATTAATAAGGAAGATGTCATCTTCTCCATATTATCTGAAGAGTTAATCCAACTAATACCCGACTTTCGAGTGGATATGTTCCAAATTCGGCTTTCATAATTTATGAGTCTTAGATATGGAGTAATACTTATGTACATACATTGTGTTTGTCTTCTTAATAAAGACTAGACAATCGTACGTACGATATGAAACACGTGATTTTGGGGAGATTCGTAGTGAAATGTTGTATAGATTAATGGAATTAAAGTTTTAATAATGTGTAATGATAGTTAAGTAATCCATTGTTTAGTGTGTGATAAATCAAAATGCAATCACAATCCAAGTGGACAAGGACGTCGAGGAGTATCGCTCTCCATAGTTTTGGGGTGTTTTCACATTAGCTGTCGCAAAAATTATGATGCCACGTACTTGTTCTCTCCCCTAACAGTTTCAACCATTTTTTTCCTTTGGACTTTTTTCCAAATATTTTTTTTCCAAAACATAACATTAATGTATACATACCTTTTATCGCTTCTAGCTAAGAGTTATAAGTTTGAATTATAAGGTATTTATTTTAATTTATATTTATTTTGTTAATCAGGTATTTACTATTCGAACAGTCTTGCTCAACATATTAAGAGAACTGAACCCTGTTGTGAGCTTCATTAGACATGCATGCATAATATGTATAGTTACTAATCACTATAGTATAGTCTATAGAGGAAGTGAATTAGAGAGAAAAATTGAAGGCAATTAGAGTTTGGTAATACTATTTTTATGACAAATTCATGATAATATTGCTTACAAAAAGATAGTTAATGTTTTATATAGTTAATATACCAACATGTTCGCACAAAAAATTATCGTTGGAATAAGGTTGAACTTTAAAGATGTAAATTTTATTTTCTAAGATTTACAATTCTTGAAATGGATTTAGAAATTACAACAATATTTTATGTTGATGACAAAAAAGAGATAAATTACAAAATTGTTTTTTTATACAGATTATAACAGTTGTAATATTTTTTTATGTTATAGAAGCAGAAAAAACATTATCCCACTAATATACTCCCTCTGTTTCATTTTAAATATCTTTACAAACGTCAAAATTTATTTTATTATAAATATCATTTTATATTTTTAATGCACATGTTTAATAGTTTTCACTTTTATCTTTATCCTTCAGTTATTTTCAATGGATATCTTAAAAATATAATTAAAGAAATTATAAAAAAAATAAGAGAGACAAGAAAAAGCATCTCAAAAATAATACTATTAGATACCCTTTAAAGTTTATGACACCAAATGTCTATTTTTAGTTGGTTCCATTTATCTAAAACAATTCATTTTAAATCAAATTAAATTAATGTTCTTTTTAGTTAAGAACTCATATTTGAGAAACTTATAAATAAAGTTGTTCTTAGACGACTTATAAAATGAAACAAATGGAGTATTCGTGAGTTTGATATATTCGAGGTAATAAATATAATACACACCATATTTTTTTTTTTAACTTAAATACACACCATATTTAGCTGTTTATTCCTGTCTCTCTCTATCCATCAAAATCTCTCGATAAAAAATGAAGACCAATCTTTTGGACATATTAGCTTTTTCTACGTGAATTTTGGATACATGATTGTGAATTGTGATGCTTTTCACAACCCAATCAAAAATTTTAATTTGAGTTATTTTCATCTTCATTGGGTGGATAACTAAAAACAAAACTTTCAAATTGTATTTTTTAGAAAACGGCCAATTATAACATTACAGTGGTTTTTTTTTTTTCTTTTTTTTTTTTTTTTTTTTTTTTTTTTTTTTTTTTTTTGTCACGTGGGAAATCTCACCCATGAATCCCTGAAGACGGAGTCGAACCCCGGTGCCTTGGGTACCACTTAGCCACTAGGCTAAGGCTGACCCGGCACATTACAGTGGTTAAGCACATGTTTTATCCTTAGACCAAGTGCATCGCTAGTTTCTAAAGGGGATTTAAAAAAAAAAAAAGTAGTGGTGAGCTCCACAAATCAGCAAAAATCAGTAACAAAAGTGATCAATAAAAATCGACTATTGTTGAGATTTTTACTGTTCGCGGATCTCAGTAGCAAAAAAAGTAAGAATTACTTGAATCCACTTTAGCGATAATCATGCTCCTAGCTGGGACAGAAGCTGTTCGGCTTTGGTTTTAAAAAACACACGTGTTGGGTTAAAGGTTAGTGTAGTCATCTTTATATAATAAACATGGAGCGAAATAGATGACTGGTACAGTTTTGTATTGCGTGAATTCAGATGATTATCCTTATTGTACGAACCACTCATTTTGCAATTCGTTTTACCTTCCGAGACTGTAAAATTTAGTTTCCTACGATATACTCCATCATATAACAAAAATGAGACAAAATATAATTGATAATTTGGAGAGTATGTGTTAAAAAAGTAGAATTAAATTTTTGTTTTACCAAAAGTCATTAGAGAACACAATATTAAACAAAAAGATCACTCATTTTAATAGCTAGGCATAGCCTCATAGAGATTATAGAATAGTATATATTTATATTTGTTAACATATACGATAATACTAGTAGATAGTAATACAAGTAACTAGGCTATATCCTAACTGGATAAGTAATCAAACTATTATGAATTGTTATTTTAAAATAGAAGTATTAATTGGACGTACTGAATCTAGGATTCTAGATAATGAAGAAGATTATTGACCAAATGTCAGGAACTCTCACAATTCGACTTCGAAAAGCATAGTCCTAATCCATATCTTAGGGATTTCCTTTTAGCTTTGCATTATAGGTAAATGCATTTTGGAATTTTAGGCTTTCTTGTTCACTTTGTTTTCACAAACAGGTGAATAGTTCATTTGTAATTAAAACAACCGTTATTTTTACATTTAACACACAACATAATTGATACAAAAAAACACTCATCATATAATCAATTGAATTCTTTGGTAACTAAATATCCATACCAATATACTCCCTCTGTTTCTAAATAAGTGTCACTTTAGCCATTTAATTTTGTTTCAAAAAAAGTGTCATTCTACAATTCCAATGTAATTTTGTACATTAAATCTATTTTTTATCCTTTTGAATAACCAATAGTATTTTACTTATATTATTTTCATTTAATTAAACATACATTAAATAGGGATATAGTAGTCTATTATACAATTTTCTTAATTTATGTGAAAAGAGTCAAAATGACATTTATTTAAAAACAGAATGAGTAGTATACTGAATGAATGGATCTGGAGGATATGATTTTGTGCCTAATTTCAGGAGAACGATTCTTTCAAATATTCCAAGTTTCCAACAAACAATAGCATCCAAGCAATAGAAACACATAGACAAGATAGTTAATTTAACGACAAAATGTTCTAGTAATCAGGATTAATGATATTTATTGCGATTAATTTATTAGCACTGAGAGGAATTATCATCAAATCACTGTTGAAATTACTTTATTATACTATAATAAGTAATAACTATATTTAAGTAGTACGTATTATTATGTTATTATACCTATCGTTCCTTACGATTCAAGAACCTGTCGGGTCTAACGACAAATGAGAACTTCACAAAAGAGCAAATTACGTGAATGAACAACGCATATTAATTTATGAAAAAGGAGGATAAAGTTATAGTACTTTACAATAATCAAATATAATAGATTAGAAGATAGCTATTGATGCTATATTAGGGTAGTAACCTGTGAAGGAGACTTTGCTTGCGCATGAACTTGCCACAAAGAATAGCCTACGTGTTACTTCATATAGTTGACAAAAACTGTTGATAATGTTTTAAGCATTAGAAAAGAAGAATTACAGACATGTGTGCCGTGAATATTTGACCCATAAATCAGTATTGTAATATTTGGTTAATTATGAAATTAAAATATGTCGATTATGAACACACTACGGATAAAAACACTGATAGTAAACATCAACGATTTGATTGTTTTTAATAACTCGTATAAATACTCGCTGGCTGTAGGCCACATGGACAAAAGAGTTAGGCAATAATAAAGTATGCAGCCACATCAATGCGATCTTTGCCTAATTTATCTTCATATAAAATATAATTGATCCTTTTAAAAATAAAAATAAAAATAAAATATGATTGATTTGTGTATATGTTATAAAAGAAAATCAAGTCGCGTAGAGATTATTGTCCCATTATTCCAGATCTTTGTTACGTCACAAACGAAGCCCTTTGAATCCTAAATAGTTGAAAAGGTGAGGCAAATGCATGCCAATAAGCCACATATTCATATTGACATACACATTATATATTATATATGTGATTATTATACATACCATTCATATACAACTATAATATGCGACTTTTACCAAAACAA